CCCTATTTTCGGAAACCCCCAATTTTCGAAGTTCAGCGTTGTAGGGTGTAAAAGCTTGTATGAATTAAAGTCTCTCCGACAGGCTGTAGGAGCGCAAGGTTTGCGTGGAGCTTGCAAATGTTATTGGCTTTAATCCTCGACAAGGAGTTCTTCTACACGATGGTGTTTGCTTGTTGTTCCTTTGTTACAAGAGTGCCTGGCAGCTGGCATGCTGCTATTGTCATATTGGTATGCTGCCAGCATGCAGTAGTTTTCGGTACCAGCTTTCGAGAATTTCTCCTAGCAGGTCCTAGCAGCTAGCATTTGCAGGATTTCACTGGGTGCCTGTGGTGTTGTGAGGCTTTCCACTGGTTTCCGCGACGGGGAATTCCCCAAACTGGAGCAGCAGCGGCACGAGCTTCAAGCTAAGCAGGAGCTGCGCTGTCGACAGCGGAGCGGTGAAGATCGACGAGATGGTTTCGTTCCTGCGAACTCCAGGCAGATGGACTGTCTCGACGGAGCTTCGCAGTTATGATCGGAGTAGGTTCCGGCCTCTGGGGTTTTGATTTAACTTACTCTTTTGGATTCATCTAGCCTTCCGGATCAGTGGAGCTTCGTCTCCTTCCTTCGAGACCTTGGGTCCTGCATATGACCGCGAGAACGTCAAGAGTTTAACCATCCGGCAACATCCACGGCCACGGTCTGGCTACAATGGGCATGCTATTTACTGGTGAGGCGTCTTGGTTTAAGCCCTGGTGTCGCAACTTCACGTCCAGCAGGGCAAGCGTGTGTGCATAATGGCATACCACCATGAAGACAGATCGGCAGACAAAGACCTAGCGGGACAGGATATTGTCAACTCAAGTACCTGGTACGTATACACACATATAATATATTGATGTATGTACGTATGTAACTGTAATTTATGTATGTAGGTATGCCTTTTTGTATGTAATTATGTATGTAATTNNATGTATGTATGTATGTATAATTATGTATACATACATACACAGACATACCTCTGCCCCTGCGCTACCACGACGTCTATTCCTCCTCCTGCTCCTCCTCCTCCACCTCCTACTCAACTACAATTGCAACAACAACAACAACAGACACAACCACAACCTCAACCGCAACTACAACCACCGCAACCACAACCACCGCGATGACACAGTACGCAGTATTGTTACTACTGGTACTATGGTACTACTGGTGCTATTGCTGCCGCCATGAGGCCCTACGTAAATTCAGCAAGTCCTCGCCTCTGCCACCCGGAGGTCAGTGTTTGCTGCTAGAGGGCCGGCCGACCACTGGCCGAGCTCTGTTGGCCAGGCGGGGGCTCGGAAGATATGGATCATCCTTATTAGTATGATTCGTGTTCTCCTCACAACCAACAATTTTTCGCTGTTTGGTCCTGCAAGCATGTGGCCCTGGCGTACAGACATCCCGCAAGAGGTGGGGTTTGACAGGATTTTGGTGCAGCTGCGGTTGAATCGAGTGTTGCACATGTTTGGGAATGCCCCACCCCTCCAAGGTTTTCTTTTGTTCCTCGCAAAAGCATCATAGCAGCAAGGCACGTGCTGGCGAGGCTGGCGGAGGCCTGTCGAGGGCCCTTTCTGTCATTGTCGCTGTGGAACTGTTGCAGAGAAGCCACTGCAGCTCTCATTCTGGATGTTCTGTTGGGATTCCAGTGCGGTTTTTGCGTTGCAAATTTCCGTTGCGAAGACAATTCATATCGTCTCAAAAGCTAGAAAAGCATGGAAGCCCTGCTCGGGTCTCAGTCTTGCATGTCGCCACATGCACTGCCGATCGTGCCGCCCCAAGTGGGTGGTCTGCAAGCCTGGGCCGCACTCTGCAGCCCTCGACGCCAGTCTGAACCCTAAACCCGCATGCTAAACTCCCTCCCCCCCCCAGCTCCGCAATGCCAAGTTCCTGTGCTGCATCAGGGTGGCGGCACGACGGATGGACGTCCCTGGCTTCCCGTCCAGGCCCGCTTCAGCCGTTTCAGCTGAATGTCTTCCCAGTAAGGCTGCAGGAGTGTCAACCCCACATCTGACGAAGCAGATGTCGTATCAGAAGTCGAAGCAGTACACCTACCCCAGGGCTCACAAACCAACGAAAGTAGGTTTCCGCACGCCATGCTTGCAGACATATGCAAATGTGTATCCATTCATCGACCCATCCATTTATCGACCCATCCTTTCGTCCCTCCACTTAGGCATGCAAAGGCTTGTTTTTGTCTTTGTCTTTGCCTAAGGTACAAAAAGACTGGAGAGACAGATGGTTTTTGATGGACGCCTCCAATCTCAAAGACATAGATAGAGCCCATCATTTTGCGTCGTTATCGATGTACGCATGAATCTACATCCACATGCCGAGATGCATGAAAGCCATGCATGCGCTGGCCCGTGTAGGCATGTTTTATGCTTACACATGCACAAATGCATGCATGCGCGTGCACAAACACACGGTGTCACGTGAAGCAGACACGCCCGGGCATGTATTTGCGTACGGGCATGTATGGAGACATATTCACGAGTGGGTGCGTGCACGTGTTGTGCAGGCAGACGGCCGGAAAAGGCAGACAGACAGACATACATGCTTATATACCGTTTTAGGCACACACAGATGTACGCTTGCACGCGCATACACACACATATACACGCACACGCAGACATGTGATGTGTATGTATGTATGTATGTAGGTAGGTAGGTAGGTAGGTAGGTAGGTAGGTAGGTAGGTTTGTATGCATGCATGTATGTACGTAGGTATGTGTGTATGTATGTAGGTATGTATGTATGTATGTACGTGTGTGTATTTGTATGGGTGTGTGTGTGCATACCTATGTCTTTAAACAGAGATGTATATATACATATATATATATATATATACATAGACAAAGACATATACGCATGCATGTGCATGTACTGTACATGTACATATACATATACTTACATATGATGTTTACACATATATATATATGTACATTTTCTACATATGCATGAATCTGTACATGTGCATATATACGTATGTATGTATGTATGTATGTATGTATATATATATATTTACATACATGTGTATGTGTACATATACACACTTATGTGTATATATATATATACACATACATATACACACATGTATATATATATATATACACATACATATACATACATGTATATATATATATAAATGTTTCTTTAGTACCCATGAGGATACGCCACGTTTGAAACGCACGTGCACTTCGAGATCTCCCATTTTCCTCTACGAGCTTCGTAACTTTGCTGCTGCAGGCCAACTGCGCTGTGCTCGGGAGTATGATCCGAGCTGGCGGCCCGGCACGCTGGTTTAGAATGTATGTATGTGTGTGTGTGTATGTATGTATGTATGTATGTATGTATGTATGTATGTATGTATGTATGTATGTGTGTATGTGTGTATGTGTGTATGTGTGTATGTGTGTATGTGTGTGTGGTGTGCATGTATGTAGATGGATGGTTGGATGGCTGATAAGAGATGATAGATAATTAGGTAGGTAGATAGATAGATAGCTAGATAGCTAGATAGATAGATAGATAGAGACGAAAGGGAGTTCGACAAGAACTAGGCCTTGGTGTGTCCTTCGGTTTTTTACGTCTCGGGTTGCTTCTGGGATTGCGGGTTGTCCAGGTTCGGGATTTGTCTGAAGGTCTACGGAACTTTGCACTTCTCAATCTGGACTCTCGAGAGTCCAAGCCCTTGATGGTGTCTTCCTGCTTAGGGCCCGTTGATGGGTTCGGGCTGCCTGATTGAAACCTCATGCTGCACAGTTCAGTCGTCGTGCCCTTATCGTGCGAACGCGTGTCGCAAACAGGTCAATACGAGTGGCACATGTCAGGGCTGCTCCAAAAAAACACTGCGGCGGGGGGGGGAGGAGGGGTCCCCTGGCAGGGGTGATCAGAGAATAGTCCCCTTCGGCACTCCATCTGGAATGTGGCCCCGTAGTACTTGTTTGTGTGCTTGTTGAATTGTGTCGTCTGGTCCACTTTCACAAGCCCGGAGCGGAAGGCCTACACACTGCAAATCCTATTCTACTCCTCCAAAACCCTTATCAAGTCCTGAGCCCCATGGTTCCCTGTCCCTCTCAAGCCTCGCGACCTTCTCAAGCTGCTTAAATCAACGACACGACACCAAAGGGCTGTTCTAGATTCGGGCCGTTTGTTGTTTAAAGTATTTGTCTGGTTGCGGTTAAGGAGCCGTTTTTCATCCGGGTGTACGTATGTTATGCTGTTTCATTCTTGGGGTCCGTTCATTTACGGATTTCGCCAGGTTTAGAGCCAATTTCTCTGGGGTTTTAGGTTTGTCTTCTGGGGTCCAAGGTGCCCTTACTGACTGCTTACATAAGGTTTACAGTTTAGGGTCTAGTGTCGAGGTCTCTATTCTAGTTTCTATAACTAAGCCACGAAAAGGCTGAGCCTCTGGTGTGGGGTAATATAAGTATATAATTCCTGGGGCTTTGAGTGTACCTGGGTCGTAAGTATTCCCCCTTTTTTTAAGGAAATGGGGGTAGTAAGACGCTGTTTCACCCAATCGGACTCCTCAAGCACCGGGAGTCCCCGAGGCGATGACTCGTCGGATCTAGATCTTCTTGGCCAGTGGCTGACAGAGGAGCAAGCTTTAGGGCTTGGGGCCCCTAAACCCGAAACCCCACCCTGACCCCTGAGCCCTGACTGGAAGTTTGTGCTTAGGCTGGTTGCAGGGCATGGTGTTGCGACTTGCAAGGTGATACCACGGCCTGACGGTGTTTACTAGCGCCGTTCAGCGCAGAAGAAGATCCAAAAAGCAAAATCGCGGTCAGTCTCATGCTCACGACGCTTCTAAGCGTAACGATGCATCTCGAACTTCCGAAACAGGAACTTATGCTCCAATGCGGGATGTTCCTCAGAACCCGCTTTCCGTGTAACGGAACACGTTTGGTCCCAGACACTTAAAAGCCCTAACGGCCAAAAACGTCCCCCACCAGGAGCATGGCAAGTCGATCGTGGAGGAGCCAAATGCTTGACACCCTAGACTAGAGCAGTTGCCGCGACATCCCAGCTAGTTTGTTGGATTCCCTCACACCTGATCCGTTCTTTTCTTTGTGTATATCTCGGACCTTTCAAGCCTCTCCATGAGCCACCTTGACGTTCTCTTAGAGTTTCGAGAGTCCATACGCCTGTAGGCTTTTCAGAGCTGATGCTCAGGGTTTGGACGACCATGGTGACGGCAATCCCCCCTAAAACCCTAAACCCTAAACCCTAAACCCTAAACCCCTAAACCCAAACCCCAAACCCCGAGCAATCCTAGGCCCGAAGCCCCAAACCCTAAAGTCAGACATGGCTGGCCGCTCTGAATCTGACAGCAGTAAGGGGCCCCTCATTTTGTTAGGGTTCAGGATTAGGGTATGTTAGTGTCAGTATGACGGTTTTAAGTATTAGTATTTCGTATTCGTATTAGTTTATATCACTTACTATTACTTCGATAGTTATTGCTACTTTTGTTCTGGTTCTTATTGTGATAGGCCCCAAAAACGGCGCCAAAGTGGAGGAGCTCGGTCAACACTTCGCTGGTGTGGCGCTGCTTCTGGAGGGCCTGGAGCGCGCAGGTGCAGAGGGCTTCGGTTTAGGGTTGCAAAAAGGGTTTAGGGTTAGGGTTGAGGGCTTAGGGTTTAGTTTGGGGTTTCGAGGGAGTTGCTTTATCGGGTTTGGCCCTTGAGGGTTTCAGCCTTAAGCTGGCAACTTGGTTGGCATCAAGGAGTCTCCCAGCTGCAAGAAGGGTCTAAGGCTTAAGGTGAATGGTTTCCAAGGCTTAGAGCTGAGTCCGGTGAGAAAAAGGGTCCAGGACTTCGGAAGCTGTTGGCAGCTTCGGTATCATGGTTCATGGCTCTGGGGTTCACGGCCAGGGCTGTGTTGGATGGATCAAGACTGGGAACACAAACGAGTCGCATCCAAGAAGGTTTAGGTTTCAGGTTTGGTGACAAAACCGGCTTTGAAGAAGGCAGCCAAGCAAACGTGGCTTTCGCCACTCGTCGGCTTCCAGTAGACTTGTAGATTCTTCCCATCCTGTGCCGACTGCAACAGCTTTCACCTTCGCATCTTCATGCGAGAATGTTCTGTTTTCCATTCCAGGCTTTCTATTGGATTTGCCCCAGTTGCAACAATAGAAGTAGCCGTTGGATACCCAAGAATAATGCGGGGAAAGGTGGAAAACCGCGCATCTCGCAATACGCCAGTCAAAGCACCCCGCCCCCCCAGCTTCAATTCATTCAGCGGCTCGTTCACATTGATAGGTGCTCCCGTTGGCGGTGAAACTGAAAAAAACATCCTCCTTCAGATGGAAGGCTTTGGTCAGTGCTTCAGGTCACTCTGCGGCTGCGCTTGCTCGCTGGGCCACATGCTGGCTGAGCAAGCCTGGGATGGCCAAATCAGCGCCCCGGCAGCTGTGGACTGCGCGGCTTTAGTGCAATGGCTATGGCTATGGCTTTGGTAACGTTTCAGGGGAGACTGGGTTGATGGCTTGTATAGGGAGTCGAGGAGTGTGGAGCATACTTCGGGTGCGTACCTGCGGGAATTTGGGCCTGAAGGCTGTGGAGAGTACTGATAGGGGGTAGGGTTCCGAAACGCACAGATGCAGATTCAAGGCTGTTCCGTTTGGTGCCGGGAAACCTGGCTTTGCATTCATCACAGCAGACTAAGTCCCATAAGTATAAAAAATATGTCGCGCTGTTCCCCTACGAACCCGACCCGATATATTCACAAAATAAAATCTGTAATCTGCTCTGGAAATGCTGTTCTAAGCAGTTCGGCCCTTGATCAACGCAGGTCCTTCTGACCTCGCGGCCCTCCCTCCACGAGGAGGTTATCGGGCAGAGCGCCGCAGCCGAGGCGTTGTGGTGCAACACAGATCTTTTTCCCAGGCGAAGTATCGTGGCCTACCCCCAAACGCTAAACCCTGCATCTGCGACCCGCCGAAACACTAAATCCTCTCTTTGGCCTCCCGAATTATAGAGTAGGTAATCAGGTTATCCTTGAGCTTGTTTTGGGATACTAAGTCACTACAATCCCTTTGTAATTTATCATCCTTCATATTTCCGGAAGCTTAACCAAGTAAGCTGGTGAGGAGTCTGGTTGCGATCTCTGGGGCTTGGCCGATGTTTCCGGGCGGATGAGTTTGGCTTGCAAGGGCCTGAATAGTAGGGTTAGTAGGGCTCAGGATTCCTATGGTAAGGGTTGCTGTACGGTCCGTAAGGGGGCTCTAGAAGGGCTAGAAGAACAAGGGCCGAGAATTAACATTGGTGTTTCTAGTTGTGTTGTGTTATGGTTGGCTTCTACATATTAGCTTGAGGCTTTTGGTTTAAGGACCAGGCGACCCATAGTAACAGTGGATTCAGAGGGCGATTTGGTTTCTGTTGTGTACCTCATTTGCCCTCCAGTCATGTTGTGGGCTTCTGCGGCATTGATTGCGTTGGGTTAAACCCGACAAGTGTGCTTTCGGTCTCCGGCTTCCGGTTTGCTTACGAGTTTACGGCTAGACTAGCAAGACCCCCGATTTATGTCAGCCCTAAACCCTAACCCCAAACCCTAAACCCTATAAGCCCTAAACCGTGACTGAAGAACAAGTCTTCGACCTCCAGAGCCTCATCGCGAGCTCTTGCTCCTGTGGCTGGGAGGTTTCCCATGGTAAGTCTATGTCAGACATCTGTAGAAATGGGGCAGGTCCTAAGTACGGGCCCTCATCCAAAAGCTGAACGTGCCTAGATTTTGGAGACGGCGGATACATGGCTGACAAGGTCACGAAGATCCCTGATTCAGGCTCTCGACATCCAGCCGACCCCCAAATCAAGCTCTAAACCAAGCTTGAGTTCAAATTTTCATCTGCCTTCAGCAGATGAGGCTACTACAGCCGAGCGCGAGTGGGCCCGGGCTGCCGCAGCGAATCTTCCGGACGGTGGCCGTTTGCTGCAGGCGTGGTTTCGGTTGACAGTGGTGTTAACTTGATAAAGATGGTTGTTGTAAAGTTGTTGTATATGTGATGGTATTGCTAGGCCAAGGGAGAGCACTTAACGGTTGTGGTGTTGGGGGTGGTTGTCGCAGCAGCAGCAGCAGCAGCAGCAGCAGCAGCAGCAGCAGCAGCAGCAATTGTAGTAGTAATTTGTCGTGGTGGGGCCAGCAGTAGGAGTAGGAGGTGGGAGTGTTCGCGATACTGGCAGTCGTACTCAGTCGCAGCAGAAGCAGTCGTGCAAGAAGCAGTACAAGCAGTAGTAGTAGCAGCAGCAGAAACAAGAGTAGGTGCAATAGTAGCAGCAGGGGTAGGGGTAGGAGTAGGAGCAGGAGCAGTAGCGGTACCTGCAGTAGCAGCAACAGCAGCAGTGATAGCGGCAGTAGTGACAGTAGAAGGTTGTGTTTTGCAATAGCTATGTTCCCCAGCGGCTCAATCGTACAAAGATTTGCATGGGCTGGGCCGGCAGGACGGATACTGTACTTTTTTGCCCGAAGCAGCTTCTGAATCCAGATGCTGGAGTCTCTTTGCTGTTTCCTCTATACTATACCTTCGCCGCCACTGTAAGGTCCAAATGCAACGTGTTGCGGACATGCCATGCTTTCTTCCACTCGCAAGGTGGCTCGGCGAAGTTTTTTCAATAGATGTGATGAGCCGTGTTTTGAGTGTACGGCGGGTTGAACTTGTGCAGATGCCCGGGAATCGCTTTCAGGGTCTAGGTACGAAGCATTCCCTCAGTCTGTCGATAGTTCGGGCTTTCCGAGTGTGGACAGCCAAAGACGAATGAAATGTCAAGGGGGTGGGTGGACGTAGGATAACCGACTGCGGCCACTATCAGCGCAAGATGTATCCTAGAGTGTGAAAGCTCAGTGATGGTTTTCCGACAGTTCAGGCTGCCATCATCCCTGGCTGGCGTGGGTCTGCGTGGCGTAGAACCTTTGCTTAAAACAGATGTTTCAAAACTTTTTAGCCGGCCGTGGATGCTGCTGTCACCATGTCAAGCGGCCAGTCAACTCGAAAGCTTCAAGAAGTGAAGTGGCCTTGCTGCTTCTGACTGGAAATCTCCACACGTAAGGACCAGCAAAGGATGTTGGAGCAGCCTTTCTCTGCATCCATTTTGCTTCATATTCTCGACCGGGGCGACTCTTCCTGCGACCTGTTCAAACTGAATTGCCTCGAAATCTACGGGTGCTTGACGGATGCCATGTGGCAAAATTCTGGCTGGAAGAGTGATTCCGCAGACTCTGAAGGTCCGGCAAAGTCTGTTTGCGAGAATGCCTTGCAGCAGCTGGCGCTGGACATGTGCTCCCATAACGCCCACATAGTCCCTGTCAGCAACATCAACGATTTACTTGCGACTCCATTCTTGTGCCGGGTCGGTGGACGACATGCCCGCTTCGCACATGTGACGCTTCAATCCTATTTCGCGGCCCTGGAGATCTTGCGGCGGATGGACGTGGCCCCGCAGGTCCTCGGACAGTCGCAATGGCCGCAGGCCGGAGTGCTGAACTGTTCAAACTACAGTACTTGTATGCTGTCATCGGCTCACCTGCCAGTAACATACCCTAACCCTCCAGGTACCTACTATATAGGGCCCTATAGGGGCTCTAGTACCCTATTTTAGTAGGTACCTGGGGGGTTAGGGATAGTTTCTAAACCCTAAACCCTAAACCCTAAACCCTAAACCTGGGGGAAAAAAACCTGGGGGGTTAGGGATAGTCTCAAGAGTCCAAGAAGCCCTGAGAGGTGAAGCTCTTCCTGAAGCGGGGCCTTGAGGCTGCCATCGCAGCAGCTTGCAGGCTGGAGCCAAGTGGCCTCCGCTGTTTCTTTGGAGTCCTTGGGATGTGGCAGAGAGGTTTCAGGAACTTGCAGGGTTTTAGAGTTCACTTAGAGTTACAAAGTTTAGGCATGTTGAGGAAAGAAATAAGCTGTAGGAGTAACAGTATGGTATTGGCAGTGTGAAAGTGGTCCGAGGATCAGGTCGAGGGGTGGGGGGAAGGAGCGCCGGAGTGGAAGGCTCTTTTGTTCATCGACGTCTTCTGCATGCCTGGATGCTGGAACCCTAAACCCTAAACCCCAAACCCAAACAGACCTCGCTGTGAGCATAGTTCTCTGCCATGCGAGAGGGGAAAAAACCGTAAACCCATTCCCATGTCAAGGTTCTGTATTCAGCGATGTCGTTGGATTTACTTCCGCCTGACGACCGAAGTTGCTAATGGTGTCTATCGTTGTGGGGTTTGCGGAGGCTGCCGAATCTTCTCAGCAAGGAGGGTGCGGAGTGGCCGCCCTGCCAAATTGGCTTTACTGGTTCAGTAGTGAGAAGAGGTTTGGGGGGCTTCGACTGCGGTATGTGCGAATGATGTTGCTGGGTCTTGAAAATCCCTCTTATTCTTGGGCTTATTCCGGAACGGTTAAGTCCGGGCCTCACGCCTGCAACTCGTAAAATGCTTCGTTCCAGAGCTCCTGAGTCCTAAGATAAGTCTGCGACCCGGACGCGGACGGGAGTTTAGGGATCGTTAAAGGGTGGTAGTTCTCAAGTTGGCGGTAAGAACACCATGACGAATGCAACCGCAGGACGCTCGAAGTTATACCAATTACTGAACCCATTTAGAACATTTAAGGGAACTCTGCAAGGAGCTCCGAAAAAACACGAATTCCCCAGCAAGAAGCCTTGCCTAAGCCGCCCCTGGGGTCGTGAGCTGAATATATCCTGAAGGTAATCAGGTTGAGGTAATCTATTACCTTTATCGTTTTGAATGGTATATTACAGTATAGCATAGTATAGTATAGTATCTTATGAGTTTGAGGGTTCAGGATTAAAGGAGGACTCCTGGGCTTCACGGCCAAAGGTAAGGGGGGTTAGGGATCATGCAGAGACCCGATGATCTTTAAAGAAGATGACGAATGAGATCCACCGAGGTCTGACAGAGGTTCTTGATGAGCATTGGGTATTGGTAGTCACGCAGCATCTGCTCAAGACTATTCCATACTCCGCCGCCCCATATCATGCCCGAATCCGCTAAGTTGTGATGTGCTACCTGCATTCTGCTTTGCTAAGTTGAGGGCACCACGCTATACCTCACCATGGCCCAAGGCCCTAGCATGTCGCAGTCCTAAACCCTAGCCCTACGAGCAGTACAACCCTTTTCAGACATAGCCCTGAAGTGGCGTATAAGCCTCAATGCTACATGACCCTAAACCAGAGTATGGAAACCTAACGTAACACAACCCGAACCTTCGGCAAAAAAGGAAGCCCGAGAGAAATGCAATAGACCTTGATACTTGTCTCGGTGTATTCCTTGAGCCCCAACATATTAGTCAAGAGGCTGCAGCAGTGCCTGCACGTGGCTTTGGCCGTGGGTGCCGATGTCAGCAGCATCGCAGAGAGCTTGACCCAAGCCTGGGAGCAGGCGAGAAACTCCTACAACTATTGTCACCAGCGTACTATGACTTGACAGTGTCACTACATGCAAGATTTTACAAGTAATTAACACGTTCCTGCTTATGACTGTGCATGCTTTATCTAGTGCTGCGTGCATAACGGTACCATGATTACCGTTAGGTAGAGTGCTGTCAGTAGCAATACTTGCCGCCGTGGTTAATGCCCTTAGTCGTGCGGCTGATATGTCCATGTTTCAGTTTTGGGGTTATGACGATGGCACTTGCGAAAACCACTAGTGTTGTTATTACTGCCACAAGTTGTTGCTGTTTTTTTCGGGCTGAGGTTTCAGTGGGTGAACCGAAGCCCTTCCGGGGCGAGGAAGGAGTTCAGAGTTGTAGACCTGAATCTTCAAAATTGCCTAAGACACTGTTGGACGAAACACGTCCTCGCAACCCTTTGTTGCTGGGTGGCAGTGCTCAGTTCTCAAGTTGGCGGCTTCGCGGTTCCAAGCTATTCCTGTCATTCCTGTGTGCAGTGACGGATTGCGTGCTGTATGCACAAGCTTCGTGGGGCAAAAACTCTGTTTGCGTTCGGACCGTATAAAGTCGCGATGCCCCCGCAAAAATCGCTTCGGCTCGGGCGGCCTGCTTTGGGTTCTGGATACTTGAGAACAGCCGTGGATCAGGTGCATGCTGCGGCCCAGGACCCTGCTGTTCGTTGCTGTTCGGACTCCATGTTGCTTCCGCCCTGCGGGTGAAGGCGCTTTCAAAAGAGAGCAGCGCTTTGAGGCTTTGAGCTTTGGGACTCTGAGCTCCCAGGCCCCGAAAGCCCGAAAATCCTGTCACTCCGAGGAGTCGGACGCCGGCGAGGGGGCAAAGTCGTGCTTGAGGACCTGGCTGCCGACGAGCTTGGAGGCGGAGTTCATACGAGTTCGAACTGCTTCAAGCAAGTCCCAGGAGTTGGGGATGGGGTCTGAACTCTTCGAAACTCACACGTTCAACCCTTAAGCCGCCACATCGCTACGAATCCCAGGCATGCCTGCAGAACTGCCTCTTTGCTGGCGGCCCTTTGCCCTTGCAGGGCCTCTTGGCTTCGACCAGACATGCAAAAGCGCGAGCAATATCATCATTACTGTCATTATTGTTCGTGTTGTTGTTATTGTTCTGAGAATTAGTCTCATTGCTACGTATTAGTCGCATTACTAGTCTCATAGTATGAGCAAGAATGCAACGGAAGCAGAAACTGCCGCAGCCTGTGTAAGCGAGACCCCGCTGATAGTGTTGCAATAAGAAATCTCCAAAAGAGGACGACCGGTGACCCCCTCATGCCCGACTGTTGTCTTCCAGGACCCAACCTAAACCGGGCCTGAGCCCCGTTGAGCATGGCCAAGGCCTGCTGGGCTCCACCCTGGGTCTGGTCGGTCGAGTGCTGCGCGTCGGCGGAGGCAATGTGGGCCTGTCTGCGCGGCTCCCACAACCCGACACCGACAAAATCACCTGCGGCCCCGCCCGCACTCATAAGCCGTCTGAAGGCCTGCAGCTGTCGGAGCAGCTCCTCGTTGCTGCTCAGTCCAGCGTCGGGCTCGAGCACAAGAAGCGCCTCCTCAGAAGTTTCTTTCGGCAGAAGTGGAGCAGCGCGAACATGCATGAGAATGGTGATGATGCAGGTATCCAGCATTCTATCTTGGCGGGCAACGGTTCAGGTATCCTCAAGCTTCCGAGTCCCATCCAGCTTCCGGCTAAGGCAAAACGTCCTTTCATGGCAACTTCCTGGCGATGTCTCTTTGGAGCCGACGCTGCATCAGCTTGCACATGCCACGGCTGCTGGGGTTCCAGGCCTGGTGGAGAGAAAGGATCGCGACATAAATCTGTTAGGAAGGCTGTATTCAAGGGCTTTGCTTCTTCAGCTTCTGGCTGAACGAGTACGCAACAGCATTGAAGTGAACGACTTGATGTTGTCAGCCCTCGCGGTGTTCAGGGGGCGTCGTATGGGCATCAAATAAACACTGTCGCCGCAGCCGTACTGTGCAAGTCAGAGAGCTGATTTCGAGGGTTTTTAACACGGTTATGACTCCCAAACGGGCGCATAGTAGCCAAACTCCAATAGCATCGCTTTGTAACTTCACCCGGTAAACCCGGAAATTGCCAGAGCCGCAATCGAATTCGCCCGAACAGCAGGCCAAGATTGCAAACTCACTTCCCTTGGCCCGTTCACGAAGGACCCCTGCGGTGGCAGCTGGCCCTGCTTTTGCTGGCCGCCCGTCCGCCCGGCGAGCCCGTGGAAGACTTGCGGGCTCCGTGGCACTGCGTTCTTATTGCCCTTTCGTTGTTCCTAGATTCTTACCCACTCTTAACTCTTCATCGATGCAACCCCAAATCCTAAGCCGAAAAAATCACGGTCTACGTGCCTCGTGGCCTCGTCAGACGTCAGCAGGTAATACTTGGCTGAGTCATCTCATGGCCTGTACTAAACGCATATTGGAGCCACAGTAGCTCGCAGCACCATGTCTCCAATAACGCCGCCTGATTATTCAGTACGTACGTCAGAATGCTCCTCGATTAACGCCGCTTCCGTAGCATATCTTATGCTCGGTTGGGTTACTCCCGCTCGCTGTTGCTGGTCGGCTCCTTTCCATTGTCGGCACTCCTGCCTCCCCTTCTGCTCCTGTTGCTATAATGAGTTGCCGCTGCTACGACTGCATACTACGACGACTACTGGTACGACTGCGGCAGCTACACTGCCGCGACCGCGACAACCACCACAACCACCACAACCACCACAACCACCGCCACCGCCACCGCCACCGCCACCACCACCACCACCACCACCACCACCACCACCATCACGGCAACAACAGCTTCTTTACTGCCATTCTACGTTCTGGCCATAGCCGACCTCGAGAACAGAGACTGACCTGGTGGCATCGCGGTGCAGGTTTTAGTAGTCGGGAAACGATGCTAACACTAGTAGTAGTAGCAGTAGTAACAATAAATGTAGTATGTCATAGTATTTGTATGTAGTAGTAGAGAGTCTACTAAGTAGACAAGGCACAAAGGGCTTTGGCAGGAAAGGGCAATGTTTCGACAGCGCAAGAGCGAAAAACGCCGAGGTTGCTTTGCAGGTGGCAAAAGCAGCCGCGCTGCCCACGAAGCTCCTGGAGGAGTTTCATCCGACACTGTACTATTGGGGCCTAAATAGTCGCAAATACTAATAGTATCATAGTCATAATTATTCAGGTCCCAATATTATACCCGAAATCCTTAAAGGTGGGCACTGCCCTGGGCCGTACTTAAGCCTCGTTAATCTTTTCCGCCTCTCCGATTGCCGACGGCTTTGGTATTCTCACACCCTACATCGACGGCTACGGTCTTGTCACCAGTCCAAGCTTGAGATATTGGCTTAAGATGCTGCGCCAAGGTTTTCGCACGAATGAATGTTTGGGATCACTGCACCCACTGCGCAGTGTAAACCTCCTCCGAGAGGGCAGCTTTCAGGCAATCCAAGAGCCGCAACGCATGAGTTCGAGATGAGCACAGCGAGCAATTAGCCTACCCCAGAGCCACAGAATCAGAATGTGTTCCGCAACTTCTAGGGACTGAGGGGAAGGAATGTAGAGCTTTGGAGAACCGTGCGCGATTGAGCTTTTGCAGTCTGACTTCGTCCCATGGCGGTTTTGGGCAACACGAGAGGCTACTTTAGGCGCAAGCTTTCTCAACGGGGCCTGCTGCAAACCTCTGCCGCTGGCTCAGGTTTGCAGATGACAACAGCTGACAACCAGTGTCTGACAGACTTTTAGCATCGTGTCTGACGATAACATGGAAGAGAAGCCAAGAACTTCCAAGGTGTTTTTGCAGAGGGCGGGATGCTAGCATGAGTTGACGTACCGACGAAGAGCAGTGTCGACCGATCCTTCTGCCAGGACCATATCTGGGAAGTCTACATCCGAGCAGCCGGCGGTTGGCCACCGAATACAGCCAAGGCAGTGTAAGCATCAGATAATGTTGAATCTAGGGTTTAGGAACTTTAGGGTTTGCTGTAGAGCGGTTATAGGGTAAGGAGACGAATACGAAGGTGCAATCCTGTTCACAATGCTTCGACCCGCGCAACCCAAAACAGTGTCGCTACGCAGACCGTGGTCTTGCAGGGATCTTGGCCGTAAGATGACAACTCTCATCTTGCTCAATCTTCGCTTCTCCATCTTTCTGTCTACATATACTCAGTTGCTTTACCTGTTTGTACTTAATGTCCTTCGCATCATGGTGTGGTAGAGTCGCCATCGCTATTTGTACTTTGTAGCCAGCACCGGCTGCAGGTTGAGGCGGCCGGACAGCTTCTCCAGGAATACTTGGCAGGCTGGTTTAGGGGCTTAGGGTGGTTTAGAAAAACCTTAAGAACCCAAAACCTATTGTTTTGTAGAGTCCCTATACATCCCATATTAGGGTTAATAATAAGAACCTACAAAAAAGTGGGTTTGGGGTTCTTAAGGTAGGGGCCTAGGGGTTTAGGGCTTAAGGGTTTATGGAGCTCTCCGGCAGGGAACCGCAGCCCTTCCCGACATCGGCACAGTTTATATGTCCCAAGCCTACTAAGCGCTCCAATGCCTCCTACAATCCTAGAATATTCCATGCTCCAAACGGACAGCAATGGTCCAAAAATGAGGTAAAACGAACCATATGAAGAGATTCTTCTGTTTTGGCTGAATTCTAGGAGCCGAGAATGTTCAAAGTCGCTCGACGCTCGAGAGAGTTGATTGCCGGCCTGAGGGTCTGATCGGGCTAGGAGGGTTTCTTGTCTCTGTGGCGCTTCTCCTTGCGAGAGTTTGGCAGCTCAGCTGGTGTTTGTCGTGTTCTTTCCTGGTGTCTCGCCTCTCGGACCCCTGAACTTGCGCCTGTGTTCGGAAGTGTGGCAGCAGACAACAGAAACCCTAGCCGTCCGAGGCTTCCCTTCTGACTGGGAGCAGGGGGCTCTGAAAGCGTTGGCGGCACGGGCTTCTCTGGCAGATTTCTTTTATGCAGCTAGAGGGCTAGGGCCGACTAGGGGCCCCCGGCAGACTAACCAGGCCTTCGCGATTTCAGGGCTTCAAGGCAGTTGCGGAGGTTCTGGTTGCCGGGCTGCGCTGACTTGGGGGTTTGACGCAGGACTTGACCAAGTGTCTCGAGCCAGCTCCGCATTGCCACTAGCGCTTCAAAGGAAACAGCAACAGCAACAGCAGCTACTACTACTACTACTACTACTACTACTACTACCACTACTACTACTACTACTACTACTACTACTTCTACTTCTACTTCTTCTTCTACTACTACTACTACTACTACTACTTCTACTTCTGTGTCTACATCTTCTTCTTCTACTCCTACTTCTACGTCTACTTCGACGTCTACTTCTACTTCTCCTGCTGCTACTAGCCGTCTGTTCCTGCTGCCTAGTGGCTGTAGACCCGAATACTGAACAAGCCACCTTTCCGCAGTAGCTGGTCTGCCGGTCTTCCTTCCAAGAAGTTGGAAAGCTTACGGACCCTATAAAAGTTCTGGCGGGTGCCCAGTAGTGTGTACTGAAACCCCGACCTCCCAAGCCCTAAACCCCATAAAGCCTCCATGATCATGGACATGAGACCAAACCAAAAAAGCCTGGAGCGCCGAAACCCATCAGTCAATGATTACTGAATTGAGCCCAAACCTCAAAGCCTAAGTGTCACGCCGACTTTCGACTATGGATCCTCGCCTGGCATGTCCGAGTTGTGAGAGCGCAAACCCAAAACCCCGAAACGCCCAAAACCATAAACCCTGAACTGTAAGCCCTGAACCCTAAACCCATGATTGTGTGGATCCTTGCCTGCTGCGTGCGAGAGTGAGAGTCGAAACCCATGATTGCTGAGTTGAGCCCAAACCCCAAAACGCCCAAAACCTTAAACTCTGAACCCTAAGCCCTAAACCCTAAACCTACCCAAACCTTAAACCCTAAACCCTGCACAGAAGCTGCCAGGTATCCGCCTTTGCCAGGCTGGCGAGTAGCTTTCAGTCTGGGAGCCTTGAAGGCCACTTGGCTTGGGATTTAGAGTTTGGGGTTCAGTGTTCGGGTTTAGGGTTCAGGGTTTGAGGTTTAGGGTGTCGGGTTTAGGCTTGAGGGTTTAGGAAATGGAGGCCTAAGTCGAGACCTTCCTTGGTTCCTGTCTCCAAGGCCTCCCGAATTTTATTACTGACTATTACTAGTATTATGACTATATTACTAGTATTATTACGAGTCTTCCTTCTTGTTCTTATTTATGTCAGCATGCAGCGTGCATTTTTGTACATGCGCCCATGCAAACATACATACATGCATGCAGACATACATATATGTTTATGGACACACACACATACATACATACATATATATATATATATGTAAACTCATATGTATATATATATATATATATATATGTATACATTTTGTATGTAAGGTATTTATTTATATATTCACTCAGATATTTAAATTTCTATTAAATTTAAATGCATATTTTTTATGTACCATATACTTAAATATTTATATATTTGTATATTCATACATTTACATGCATACATGCACGCATGCACGCACACACACACACACACACACGCTTATATATATATATATATATTATACATATCTGTATGAAATGTCCTCTCACTCTCTCCCACTCCCTGTCTCTGTTTGTGCGTCTGTGTTGCACGCGATGCATGTACAGCCAGATCTTGTTCATTGGCATGTTCTACTGCTTTGCATAGCCGCGCAAACACGAGCAAGTGACCCCGCCGACACTCACGTCATAAATGCAGAACCCGTGGCTATTACGAAAGCCACATCGACGAGCAAGTTGTCCTTTTTCGTGCTGCATGCCAAAACTGTAAAACCGTATTTTCCAAGACCTATGTTCCCCCAGAACCGTAGCCCACGGAGATGCGCAACCCAATCCTCCCCAAGTGCGTCAGAAGGTTCGTGATTCTCCTCCAAGTCCATTCATCGAGATATATGCTAAACCTCATTGATAACCCGGAACTCCGAATCCCTGAAGCCCGAAGCCCCGAAATCCTGAACCCCAAGCCTTAGAACCCCTAAATAAACCCTGTCGCGGAAAAGTAGCTTAGAAAGATTAACTCACCTGAGGCTGGCACCCCTCGGCGGAACTAGCAGCCGCCTCGGGCTTGCCCCAAGCACCTGGGCTTTCCAAGTTTTCAGGCGTACGGGTTTACGGGCTAAGCTGTTTCAGGCTATGGGCCTTAAGGATGCGAAGGCCCTTCAATAAGGGTTCTGATAGGAACGCCTTCAGCAGGGGTCTACAGATCGCTGCTCGTGCCCTTGGCATTCGAGCCTATAAACTATGTTTTGTGCCATTGGGAGTTTCGGTTTGGGGTTACACCGTCGGTCGCGGGGGTGTCCAACAAGTACTAGCAGCTTCTAGGAGACTTTGGTTTGTGTTTTTAGTATTTCAATGTCTTTGCTTTTTGGGGTTATTGATTCTGCTTGGAGGGTGGTCAAGAAATATTGCACATGACATTTTATGGCTTACTTTCTACTGGGAGCAGAATGGCGTGCCGCGAGACATCGCCAAAAGTCGCAGACCCTATCCGAGGTTTTGGTGGAAGCATCCGAGGCAGCTTTTTTTGCAAGGCGCGCCGGACAAGATAGGACTCAATGGGACATAGGGTTTAAGGCATTGGGCAATTGATCGTACATGTTTATCTGGGTATATGAACATCGAGGACACATATGTACAAGTCAAATATATGCATACATGTCTGTCTTACGCACGTCTATGCATACACCTGGACCCTAAACCCTAAACCCTAAACCCCTAAACCCTAAAGGTTGTGTGTGCCTTCGACCTTAGGCTTCTTTTGCAGACCCGGAGCTTATATATGTACATCGAAATATTCGGTCGCATAGCTCTCAGAGAAGCTTCTGCATTCCAATTTTCCGACCGTTCTGGGACAGTAGGACATGGCAGGGAACGCCCATTTTTTGACATGCCTCTTCAAAGCATGTGCCTGCATGCACATGATTATGCATGCTCGGGTGTATGCGCTCGAGTTTATGCCCGCGTCCATGTCCCTGTATCCATGTATGTACATCGAGGACAAGGTTACGCAGACGAAGGTGGTTGCGACCCGGCGGGCCTGCCCCCATCCACCTCGCCCACGCAGTGGAAGGCTTGACAAGGCTTCGCAAGCGCCACAAATATGTTCACGAATGAATAAAACGAACGCGCGCACACATGCGTATGTAATTAAGATACGCATGTGCACGTGTGTGGCAACTTAACCCATTTATGTCAAATTCATTTGTATGAAAACGTTGTGTACACACTCTGGCTGTTCGGATGGCGAGGCACCGCAGCTTCCTGCATAAGAAGGTTTGGATTTGGAGATGGACTCAGGGGCTTAGTCTGATCTGTGACCCGGGATAGAGCTCTTCACCAATTTGCGAATCACTCGCATGCACCGTTTTATCCTCAGGCTGAACAGTAGAAGCTGAGCTCGGATCGTTGCGTTTGCGTCCCTCCATTTGCTACTTAGATTCTAGATATTTCTGGATTTCCCAGATGCCTGTTGCAGTTTGGTTGCATCTTCAATCTCCAGACGTGGGTGGCAAGTCTTTCAATCGGGTGGGGGGTTTCAGTTGAAGCCTGTTGCGGACTTGGCAAGAGCTTTCGCCAGGCGAGTGGCTGCAGGACGGTATCATTCAGTCTTGCTCCGGAGGATGGGCAGCCCGCTCCGCCGTAGCCTTGAGAGCAAAGCTTCGTAGTCCGATAGAAGTTGGCGGCGGCTTTTGCTTCCCGATTGGGCCCTGAGGAACGTCCGTAGGAGAGCAGCTTCTCCCATCTTCTCGTTTTCAGGTCAAGGCTTCGTGAGCTTCAGTCTTGGGTTCTGGAATGCGGTGAGATGATGATTTCCATGTTTGGCACCGAATCGTAGCGCCGGCATGCTGTGGTTCTCGAAAGCTTCGGTTCACAATCTGCTATACAAGCCGCCAGGAGTGGTGGCGCGGTGGCCTTCGGACTCAACGCTGCTGGAGAGTCTCTACTTCCACGTTTGCCAGCCGGTGTTCGCTACATCGCAGTTGCCGCAGGCACCCAGCACACACTGCTACTGCGCAGCGATGGCCGTGTTGGCTCCTGTGGGTTGAACCTTGATGGCCAGAGGAGCCTCATCGGGCTGGAAGGCCGCGTCCTCATCTCCGTAGCCGCCGGAGGCTTTCACAGTGTCCTCTTGGACTCAGATGGTTCTTGTGAAGCTGTCGGGTGCAATGATCATGGCCAATGTCAAGTAAGTTCTCGCCTGTCGGGACGACGCTGCATCTCCATTGCTGCTGGGGCGCAGCACACCATTTGCATCTTGGAGGATGGCAACGCCATTGCTGTCGGCCTGGATGACAATGGGCAGTGTAGCATCCCAGCAATTTCACAGGTTCCTGTGCCGCAGAAGCGCGTGAGCTGGCTTCGTTACACATCCGCTGCTGGAGGGAGCAAGCACACCGTCCTCCTGCGCAACGACGGTGAAGCAGAACCTCGACTTGCAAAAGAAAGCGGTTCGGCATTGCCCATGCCTGTACGTCCCAAGCAACATGGCACACAGCTGCAAAACTGCGCTGTGCGGGAGGAACTGTAAAGCTATATCAGTTACATCTATAGTTGGGCTGTAGAGCAGACATGTCTGATGCCATTCTAAGGTCGAGTCATGGTATGACCGTTTGCAGTTAACTGCATGGTTGGCCCGGTGCCTCTAAAGCCTGCAAACCCTTAGATCGTAGGGGTTTAGTTTGTTTTAGATATCTGTTGAGCTGACTTCTGCAAAGGCTGCCTTGGGATGGAATGCCCATGGTCAGTGCAGCGTGCCGCCACTGCTGCTAGGCTAAGGTTGGGCCATTAGGTTTTTTTTTGGTTGCTGCTCTGGAGTTGTGTGGTTTTGGTCTAGGGTGTTTTTGAGGAAAGCTAAGCATAGCTGTGAACGCAAGGCTTTGGTGTAGTGGCACCGGCGGGCGGAGGTGGCGGTGGTAGGTCAATCATTGCTGTGAAATGCATCAACTATTCTGAGGATCCGACCAATCTTCTGGAACAAAGTCAATCGGGTACGAAAGCCTGACAACCTTTTGTTGAAAACGATATACATAAGCTCGGTCCTTGACAAGACCTGGGTGTACCGCAGCTTCCCGGTTCTGAAGTGCTGAGAACTGGTCCTTCACACCTTGTCACTATGCATCACCACTGCCACCTTCCGGCGTGTTGGCACGAAGTGCTAGGCAATGAGGTGGCACGAAGACCCATGAAGGATTGGAAGAGACGAGATTGCTCCCACTGCATGTAGGATCCCTCAACGCAGCTGTTTTTTCCAGTGCGGCTACTATTCTTGAATCGCACGGGCCATAGAGTTGCACCTAATCCTCAGCCTACAACTGTTACTGCCGCAAGATATGATCTCGCCACGAGGCCCCACCATGAGCGATACACCTCCGTCAGCGCAGGGGACCGTCACACGGCGCTGTGCTGCAATGTTTGAAGATTGAACATGGAAGGCTCATTCAGAGGGGATTTGCGCGGGGTGGAGTAACTTTTGTCCTGAGCCATGGTTTCTGACAGCACCTCTCGCTCTCTCCCTCTCTTTCCCTGTCGCCCTCTCCGTAAAGGCTTTTAATGTTCTTTCTCGGA